AATAACTCTGGCCTCTTATAGTAACAAGCAGGCTTTAATTCCAAACTCGAGAAAAAACCTTATGTTCAATAATAACAACCAGAATGTTAAGAAGGGCAAATAATTTCACCGGCAATATTAGTTTTCCAAAGTTGTTTATGTCAGGCTGGTTTTCAGGTAAGCAGCTAGGAATATATGACATATGTATTTACAAACTCAAGAATTAGAAATTTCATAGATTATATAATTTTACTCAAAGCATGATTCTACCACTAGATGGTGACATGTATACAAAATACTGAAAACAATCTTTTAGCTATTGAAGGTGTATAGTGATTGTTGATTACTGGTTGGAAAATTCAGATTTATAAGAATCTAGGGATATTTTAGCAGAAATTCTGCCTCATCACACTATTTATTAAAGAGAGGGAAAACATAAAAAAAAAGAGAAGGAGAGAGCACACATGCATGATGGGGAGGGGCAAAGAGAATCTCAAGTGGACTCCCTGCTGAACATGGAGCCTGACCTTGGGCTCTATCCCACAACCCTGAGACCATGATCTGATTGGAAATCAAGAGTCCACACTTAACTGACTGAGCCACCCAGGTGCTGCCCTCCCCAACTTTTTAAAAGATTTTATTTATTTATTTGGGGGGGGGAGGGCACAGAGGGAGAGTGAGTTAGAGAATCACACTCCCCACTGAGCAGAGAGCGCAAAGTGGGGCTCGATCCTAGAACCCTGAGATCACGACCTGAGCTGAAGACAGATGCTTAACCGACTGAGCCACCCAGGAGCCTCTCCCCCCACCCTTTTTTTTAAAAGATTTTATTTGACAGAGAGCACGAGAAGAGGAGCCAGGAGAGGGAGAAGGCTCCTTGCTTGAGCCTGATGTGGGGCTCAATCCCAGGACCCTGGAATCATGAGCTGGGCCGAAGGCAAAAGCTTAACCTACTGAGCCACCCAGGTGTCCTGCCCCCCACCCCCCTTTTTAAAGTAGGCTTCACACATTGTGGAGCCCAGTGTGGGGCCTGAACTCACCACCAGGAGATCCAAGACCTGAGCTGAGATCAAGAGTTGGATACCCAACCGGCTGAGTCACCCAGGTGCCCCATCATCATACTTTTAGAATGTACATCTTTTAAATGTATGAAAAGGTCTTGTTGATACATATACTAAATCAGCACAGAAGAGTTAAGAGTCTAGTTAGGAGGCAGGTAGCCTTATTTTTCATTGTCTTCTATGTCTTTGTGTTAACAAGCAGTTGAAGTAGATAAAGGGTTAGTAAACTACATTGCACAGGCCGTATCTGGCCAATTAAATGTTTTTGTATGGTTTGTGGGCTAAGAATGGTTTTATATATACATAAATATGTATTTTTAAACTTTTTCTTTTTTTTAAAATTATTTATTTAGGAGGGAGAGAGAGAACAAGAACGGGTGTGTGTGTGTGTTTAAGGGGCAGAGGCAGAATCAGACTCCCCACTGAGCAGGGAGCCCATGTGGGGCTTGATACCAGGACCCCGAGATCATGACCTGAGCCGAAGGCAGATGCTTAATGACTGAGCCACCCAGGCGCCCCGGTTTTATATATATATATTTTTTGTTGTTGTTGAAGATTTTATTTATTTATTTGACAGAGACACAGCCAGAGAAGGAACACAAGCAGGGGGAGTGGGAGAGGGAGAAGCAGGCTTCCCGCTGAGCAGGAAGCCCGATGTGGGGCTCTATCCCAGGACCCTGGGACCATGACCTGAGCTGAAGGCAGACACTTAACAACTAAGCCACCCAGGCGCCCCCCGGTTTTATATTTTTAAATAGTTGAAAATATCAAAAGAAAAATAGTATTTTGTGACATGTGAAAATATTAATTTCAAATTTGTGTCTACAAGTAAAGTTTTATCAAAACACAGCCACACTTATTCCATTATGTACTGTCTATAGTTGTTTTTGTTCTAACAGAGTTCAGTAGTTGTGATAAAGTTGGGGTGCCTAGAGAGCCTAAAACATTTACTTTCTAGCCCTCTACAGGAAGTTTGTTGAGTTCTGAAGTGCTCACTGAAGAGCAATGATCATTTATGACAATAATACTCTAGATCCTCAAAGCATTTTATTTTATTCTTTTAAAAGATTTATTTGAGAGAGAGAGCACAAGTGGGAGAGGCAAAGAGAATCTCAGATTCCACACTAAGCACAGAGCCTGATGTAGGGCTCCATCTCATGACCCTGAGATCATGAGCTGAGCTGAAACCAAGAGTCAGATGCCTAATGACTGTGCCACCCAGGTGCCCCTTAAAGAATTTTAAATCAAGTATCATTTCACATAACTTTGTAAAGAAAAAAAAAAAACTAGGAAGCAATTATTAAAAAAATATTTCTTTAAAGATCAGACTGTGTCAGGGCGCCCTTGGGTGGATCAGTTTGGTTAAGCATCTGCCTTCGGCTCAGGTTGTGATCCCAGGGTCCCGGGATCGAGCCCCGCATCGGGCTCCCTGCTCAGCGGGAAGCCTGTTTCTCCCTCCTACACTCCCCCTGCTTGTGTTCCTGCTCTTGCTGTCAAATAAATAAATAGAATCTTTAAAAAAAAAAAAGATCAGACTGTGTCTTCAATATATCTTAGAAGTACTCCACATGTATGGTAATAGTTGTTGTCCTCACTTTCTGTATCAGAAATGTGTTTGGTCACAAGTAATGGAAACCTAACATGGTTTAAGAAAAATGCGACAGACTAGCAATCTGGGGGGGACTGCTGTTCTAGGAGGTATCAGAGACCCACCACACCTTATTTTTCTGCATTATCAACTTTATAGTTAGCTTTTATCCTGTTCGTGGTTTCATTGTAAAAAAAAAAAAAAACAAAAGCTAGACAACAGATGCTGTATTACTTTGTAAATCAAAACCATGTTTCAGACAGAAAGAAGGGTTAAGGGTAATGACTATTGAATTTGTCCCCTTTTTTTAGTAATGGGCAATTCTTTCCAAAAGATCCACTCTGCAGATTTCTGGTCACATTTCACTGGCAAGGACTCAAACACAGGTTCAGCCCCTACCATGACTGTTTTAAACCAGTAGCAAATATTCCTTGGGGCTTTTCTTCCGGAATTCAAAATTTCTAGCTGCCACCTGAAAAACAAAACAAAATTTGGATTTGGCAAGTTTCCCTGTTGGTAGGTAAGAGGGGTGGGTGGGAATGGATGCTGGATGGTCAAGGAGAAAAGTCAAGTCTGCAGAAACCCAAGTTTTATAGTAAAGATGGGAAAGGAAGATAATAGAATATCTCTACAGCTCCGAAGGAAAACCTGCTCATACGGAGCACTGTAAAACAGGTGGGCAGAAACCATACCATCAAGTTCAAGCAGCAGAAAGGCAAACAATACCGGCAAGGTGGTCCTGGCATGGAAAGATGGTGGGACAGAACCTCCATAAAACCTTTAAAAGAATTACTACAGGGTCAATAGCTGCTCCAGTTATAGTTGTAAGATTACGTACACTCCCTTTTGGACTGTTCAGTCACATCTTTATAAAAACATACTGGATATAGGGGCGCCTGGGTGGCTCAGTTGGTTAAGCGACTGCCTTCGGCTCAGGTCATGATCCTGGAGTCCCAGGATCGAGTCCCGCATCGGGCTCCCTCCTCGGCAGGGGGTCTGCTTCTCCCTCTGACCCTCCTCCCTCTCATGCTGTCTCTCATTCTCTCTCTCTCAAATAAATAAATAAAATCTTAAAAAAAAAACAAAAAACAAAAAACATACTGGATATAGAAATCAGTGAGGGTAGGAGAAAAATTTTCCTAATGTTAACTAGTTGTTAACCAACTTGGGCTGAAGTGTCCCCTTTCCTTCACCTGTTCTTCATTTTGTCCCTATCTTAATACCCTGGCGATTTGCTCTTCGCTGTGAAGCATAATATGCTGTTTCAGGTGAAGAGCTGAGGACAGGTAATTGGTGCAGGGCCCTCTCGCATAAAAGGGAGGAGATGCCATGTGAACGCTCTTCACTCCGCCATTTCTTGTCACATCAAGGTGTCTTACTGCTCGAGGACGGATGAGCCTTACAGAATGGAGGGTAGCGATCAACACGGATGCAGGTTACACCGCCCCTGGGCTGTTCCATTCTCACAAAGGCCCGCGGGGAGAGGGCCGTGTGCCCCAGCTTGGGCTGCAGAGTCGCTCCGGCCCGGCTCCCCTGTGAACTCCTGCCTCCCCCACCCCAAAAACCCGAAAGCCGGGAGGGAGAACTCGCCACCAATCCCTCTTCGTGGGCCCGGAGGAAAAATGGCGAAGCGCAAGGGCGGGGAACAGGGCGGCGCGAGTGACCCGGAGCTCGCTAAACCTCGCAGCCCGCGGAGTGGAACGCGGTGGGCGACGCCGCGCAACTGCGGGCCGCTCGGTGTCTCCGCCATCTTCTCCTACTCACCCGGACTCCCCCCGCGGCCGCGCTGGCTTCGTGTTTCCCTTCCGGCCGCTGACAGAGATCCGGGCTGGGAGGGGTGGGCGAGCGCGCCGAGGGGGTGGACCGAGGGCGGGGAGGCCGGACGGAAGAGGAAAGGGAGGGCGGCGAGCCGGCCGCGGCGGGGTGTGGAGCGTGCGGCGTGTGTGCGGAGGGAAAGGTGGGAGGGCGGGAGGCGAAGAGAGGGAGGGAGGCGGAGGAATGAGAGCGCGAGGCGTTTCTCGTCGGCTCCCTCGCTCGGGCGGAAAGAGCCGAGCGCAGCCCGAACGCTCTAGTAAAATGGCGGCGGCGTCAGCGGTGGCCGCGGCGTCTGGTCGGTGAAGTGACTCTGCTGCTTCTCTCCCC